GTCACATTGTCTAGTACCTTCTACCACTCTCCTTTAAGTATGGTTATATCAAACCTACTTGTAAGACAAATATTCAGTAGTTATCTAATTTTGATACAAACTTTACTCACAACAGAGAGTTGTAATTTACTGTTATGTAGTAAATGTCTTACTTTTCTGTTTTTTCTTAGAGTTAGTAATTTTCTCTTTTGGTGCATAGTGTTAGTTTTCTCCATACCTTCCTGTGTCTTCTTAGTAGGACCTTTCAGAAGGCCAGTAGCATTGGTGAAGCTGTTTATTCTTTTTTGATCTTGGGGACAATCTTTCTGGAAGTCTCATTCTCCTTGATCAGGGAATGTTGGCCTGTCAGCTTCCTGTGTGTCTGGCCTGGTAGACTCCATGTCTCTGCATTTGGATTCCTGTTTTGTGAAACTCCTGTCTCCTCCTCCTCCTCCTCCTCCTTCTCCTCCTCCTCCTCCTCCTCCTCCTCCCTTTCCTCCTCCTCCTCCTTCTCCTCCTTTTCCTCCTCCTTCTTCTTTCTTCTCATCCTCCAGTGGTTTCAACAACTCAAAGTAATAATCTTACAAATGTCAATCAAATCTCCCCAGCTTGTGGATTGAAGTCAAATTGTAGAAGAGGGTTGGCATTTTGAAGAGGGAGGAGGAGTGTCTTGGTAACAGAAATGATTCCTTCAGTCCCTCCCTTGTTTCTCAATTTCAATCTATGCAGGAATTAGGTCAAGTTTCTCCATGAACAGTGTTCAGCTGTTGGCCATTAGAGGGAATGTGTGGGTGTTTCTGCTTCTCTGAGTCTTAGGGGATCCTCTCTTGCAACCCCCCATATGCCAAGGCATATTAGGAATCTGGATAGTTTAGCCTGTCTTTTCAATGACAATGCCACTGAACAGAAATGAACTGTGGTTTTGGGCTAAGGGGTCTGGGCTTGGTTTAGATTGCTGTCAGATGGAAAAAAAGAATGTATTTCATCTCAGCCCCCTGCTTGTTTGCCTCCTAGAGTAATGAACTGAGTTGTCTTGAACTATCTCAGCTCTTTGAATTCAAAACAGACTGAACTGCACATTCTTACTGTTGTTGTTTGTTTCTTTTGTGGTACTAGGGTTTTGAACACAGGACCTCGCAAATACAAGGCAAGTGCTCTTCCACTGAGTTGAATGCCCAGCTCTATGAACTCTAGGCTACTGTGCTACTTTTCTCTGATTCTTCCTGAATCAACTCTGCAAGCAAGAGATTTTTTTCAGGGGAGGTTGAGGATTTATATAAACTTTTCCTGCTTTATCAAAGATGGCATTCCCACATAGCCCTACACCTGCAATCAAAACTCCCAGAACCAAAGTTATTCCTGAAATTTTCTCTCCCTTTTGTGTATAGTTAAAATGTTGATTATTATTTTTAAATTGAGCAATTTGCAAGAGTTGTTTTAGTGATACAATTTCACCTCTCATTTAGTATATGTTTATATATGTGAATGTATATATAATGTCTTATATATAATTATATTTGTATATGATTATATATGTATATGATAATATACATATATATATGTTACAGCCACCACCAAAGTACCAGTAAATCTTCCAAGCAGTTCAACTTTCCTCTACCCTTCAATATCCCTTTCCCTGTATTCAGTTCTGTACTCATAGTCCAAGGGTTTTTATTTCTTTGACTTTGTCTATTCCCATACTTTGCTTCTCTATATCACACATCTGTGAAATCATCTGGTGTTTGTCTTTTTTCCTTCTGGCTTATTTCACTTAGTGTAGGCCCCTTAATATATGTTGTTCCAAAAGGAAAGATTTCATTTTTTTATAGCAGAGCAGTGAATATCTACTGTAGTCTGTCTATGCTATATACACACTATTCCACTGGGCATTTCTACCACATCTTCATTATCCACTCAGCTATCTTTGGGCATTTGGGCTATTTACGTGTGTTGACTTTTGTAGATAGCACTGCTATTAGCATTGGTGTACATATATTTTTGAATTGTTTTCTTGTTTCTTTGGGTGATGGATCATTTAGATTATTGAAAGTTTTTTTTTGTGGGGGGCACACTTGATAATACTAAGGGATTACTCCTGACTCTGCACTCAGGAATTACTCCTAGTATCCTTGGGAGACCATATGGGATGCTGGGGATCAAACCCAAGTTGGCCACATAAAATACAAGCATCTACCCACTAGACTCTCTCCATTCCCTATTTTTAATATTTTGAAATACTGTTATGCTGTTTCCCATAGGTGTCTAGACAAGTTAAAATTACTGCTATTTGTTTTTCTTTTTTTGCTCATCAACAGTGGCTTCTGGTCTTTTGGATATTGTTCATTTTCACAGGAGCGAGGGTGATATCTCAGTGTCTTTTTGATTCACATTTCCCTGCTAATGAGTGATAATGAGAAGTTTCCATATGCCTATTACCATCTTTATGTCTTCTTTGGAGAAGTGTCTGTTTAATTTTTCTTTTCCTTCCTTTTTTTGGGGAATGAGATTGTTTTATTTTATTTTTCTCTTTTGATTTTTTTTTACTGTATCACCGTGAGATAGTTACAATCTTTCATGATTATGTTGCAGTCATACAATTATTGAGCCCCCATCCCTCCACCAGTATACATTTTCCAACACCATTGTTCCCTGTGTTCCTCCCTCCAGCCCCACTCCATCCCACCCGCTGCCTCTGAGGCAGGTACACTCCTTCTTAATTACTCTTTAATTTTGGGCATTATGACTTGCAATACAGATATTAAGAGGCCATCATGGTTGGTCATTAGTCTACTTTCAGCACACATTTCAGGGATGAAATTGTTTTATAATCAAGCTTTGTGAGTGAGTTCCTTATATATCTTGTGCATTAGCCCTTTGTCAGGGGGTGTGGAGTGCAGTTCTGCTCCCCCTTTTAGCTGGATATCTTTTCTTTTTAATGATAGTTTTGTTTGCTGTCCAAAACACTTCAGTTTGGTGCAATTCCATTTGTTTGCTTTTTTTTCACCCAAACTAGATCATTATCTCATACCATATTTTAAAATAAAAATTAACTCTAAATAAATGTTAAGAGCTGAAACCATAACATACAGACAATAAAACATAGGCAAACACTCCATGACATTGGCTTATGTGTTGTACTCAGGAATTTGACTCTAGTGGAAAAATGATGATCTAATTCTCAGTAGCTTTTTCAATTTTCAAATGTCATTTTGAAGACCAGAGCAACAGTACAGTAGGTATACTGTTAATCCTGAACACAGAGCCAGGAGTCATCCCTGAACACTGCTGAGTGTGGCCCCCAAATAAAACAAACAGCCCAGGTATCCTTTAGCTCCTCTCTGATATTTTGCTACAAAATGGAGCATCTAGTGGCTTTAGATCACAAGTGTGACTCTAGACTCTGAAAGTCACTGTCAGTTGATGCTTCTCTTTTGCTACCCTGTTGACATTTTCATTCTATATCTTAACACTGCCTACCTTTCACTTTTCACTTAGTTTAATAAATGCCTTCAGTTTGGACTAGGCTTTATTTAAATTACCCAACTTCTAAGATTGCCTTCTTTATTCTTATCTTTTTGTCTCATTCTATATTGATTTATCCAGTGAACGAAACATGATTTAGATTGTTGTTCCAGCTCCAGAAATTTCTAGAAAATCACTTTTCTTTCTGTCAAATTTCTCATCTGGAGTGATACTCAGATAGTTTCTGTGATGACCAAAAAAGAAAATTGAAGACAATCACTCACACAAAGTGAACCTTCAAAGCAACCATTTTTCTTATCATTGTCATTTCTTATCATTATCTGATCAGATTTGAAGACTGCCAGTTTGGAAATCATTTGAAAATTATGTCTGTGGCTTAATTCATGAGACTGATGGTTGAGCTCAGTGGGTTGATGAGTTAAAAAATATATATATATTTGTAATTTATAAATATATATACTACATAATATCATTTTATCACTGTATCACTGTCATCCTATTGTTCATCGATTACTTGAGTGGAGACCAGTAACGTCTCCATTCGTTCCAGCCCTGAGATTTTAGCAGCCTCTCCTTACTCGTCTTTCCCAACGCTGCCGTATTGGAGGTTCTTTCAGGGTCAGGGGAATGAGACTCGTTTTTGTTACTGTTTTTGGCATATTGAATATGCCACAGGTAGCAGAGGGATACTCTCGTTGCTTGCCAGGCTCTCCAAGAGGCACATATATATATATTTTTTTCCCTCTATGATTTGTTGACTAGGCAAACAAAATAATAACCAAAAAAATTCAAAAGTAGGAAGATGAACTGTACATATGCTTCTACATATATACCACATAATATATGTAAAATATTATATATTATCTATACATATATACATAAGCTCTCTACACATTTACACAGGAAGTGGCTCATTAAAAAAATTAATTTTGTAGTGCCAGGCACCCTACTCATCATATATATGAGACATGTTCTCTTCCATTGATCCATGATCTCTGGTCCACAGACTCACATTTTAGTATTTATTTTATTGTACTTTACAATACTGTTAATTTTTCATAATTTTGATGAGCAAAGTTACTATACCTTGACCAAGACCAAAGTGTCTAAGGTCCTCCACTACTGTCTTAGTGTCACTTTTAGTCTGTACAGAGACTCACTTTCAAATTCTGAGTGCATTTTATCCTTTAACCCAAACTGTCTAAGGAGGCTTACAGGGCCTGATAAACAATATTTGTAAGAGGGAAGGAGAGAGGGAGGAGAGAGATAGAGAGAGAGATAGAGACTCACACACCCACATACCTTCCTTGCGATTTGCCAACACCGATGATGACTGTCTTGCCTAGGAAAATCCCTCCGCTGTTTCATCTGTGCTTCTTTTCTTGGAACTCTGCTCCTTCTGGTCTCTCCGGGCCTGTGCTCCACGGCCTGGGCTGAGCTGCCTTGAGACTGCTCTCGCTGCTGCAGCTCTTCGCTCTCTTTTCACCTTCCACCTCCTCTCCCTGTGTCTGCAGGTTCCCCGTCTAAACAAGCTCTTCATGGCCAAGGCTATGGTCCGTAGCCCGCGTGAGGCATTGCTCTGGGCCTTCAATGATCTTGAGGAGAATAACTTCAAGATACTGAAGTTCCACTTGCGGGACAGAAGCCTGCAGGAGGGCCAGTGCCTGCTGGCCCGAGGGGAACTGGAGAGCCTGAGTCGCGTGGATCTGGCTTCCCGGCTGACTCTCATATATGGACACCAGGAGGCTGTGAAGGTGGTGCTCAAGGTCTTGACGGTCATGGGTCTGCTGGAACTTGTGGAGCAGCTCAACCACATTTGTCTGAATGGTGAGTGAGGCAGGGACGGGAGGGGTCTAGGCGGCCCTGTCCGCCTTCCCCATGTCACTCGCTGAGGCTCCCATAACTGGTGACTTGTGCCCTCTGCCCTTTCCCGGATACTCCAATACCTCAGTATTCTCTAGCTGAAGGACTCTGCAGGGATTTATTTATGGGGAGACCACACCAGTTTCTCATGACCCATCTTCTACATCTTGTGGAAGTGCCAGGGAAGGGTAGAGGATGAAGAGATTTGCTCAGAGATGGGAAATTGTACTGGTGAAGGGGTGTTGACTGAAAAAAATCATCAGACAGTGGGGGCTAGAATCTCTGTGTTTCTTTGCTCAGGTCAGCTGGACCCCATTGTCTGCTCTTTCAAGGAATCATGGACTGAGGCTACTCTAGAGAGTGGGCTGGGCTTGGAGCCCATATTTCTTATCTTCTTGTGTGGTCCCAGGGTGAGAGCGGGTTCCCTTCATGGACTCTTTTCATGTGTGAGGGTCCCTGACACAGATATTTCATATGTCGTGTCTCCATAGATTCAGAGTCTGGGTTCTGGCTCAGAAATGGCTCTGCCTTTAGCTCCCAGCCCCACCTTTATTGAAATCAGCTTCCTATTACCTCACCAGCCTTCTCATACCTTCCTCATAATCTGTCCTCACCATTTCACACAAACACTCATACACTCTCTCACATAGACTACTTAATATACACGTATTATTTTTTTAATTTTATTTTTTCTTTTTGGGTCACACCCGGCGATGCACAGGGGTTAATCCTGGATCTGCACTCAGAAATTACCACTGGTAGTGCTCAGAGGACCATATGGGATGCTGGGAATCGAACCCGAGGTGGCCGTGTGCAAGGAAAATGCCCTCTCCACTGTGCTATTCCTCCAGCCTTACACATATTCTTATGAACCCATATGTGTTGATACACACTGGCACAACAGCACTCCTTTCCTACACAAAAATTCATGAACTTCCATTAGCACCCATGTGAATGTAAGCATTCACTCACCTTCACACAGATACCCACACACTCATCTAGATGTTCATACATACATGCACATGGACGGACACACACACACAAGATCACACACACACACACACACACACAGAAATACAGTGGGCCTTCTTTAGGAAGCAAGAAATAGAACTCTCAGGGAGTGAGAAGTTGGAGGGCATAGAAGATGAGTGAAGTGCAGTGTTCAGCATTTGAAAGACTCAGTAAATTCCCATCTCATTCACTAACACCTAGTTTATCTGGGTCAGATTACAGAGAAATATACCGAGAGCATGTGCGCAGCCTGGAGGAGAGGCAAGAAGGAGGAGACAAGAGCAGCTATAACCAGCTGCTTCTGGTGGCCAAACCCAGCTCAGGGAGCCCAGAACTGCCTGCTTGTCCCATCCTAGAGCAAGACCTGGACTCAGTCACGGTGGAGTCTCTCTTTGATCCAAGGGAAAATCCCTGCAAACACCCACCCCTTGTGGTGCTGCAGGGGAATGCTGGCACTGGAAAGACAACACTGGTCAGAAAGATGGTGCTGGACTGGGCCTCCGGCACCCTCTACCCAGGCCAGTTCGATTATGTCTTCTATGTGAGTTGCAGAGAAGTGGTCCTGTTCCCGAAGGGCCGACTGGAAGAGTTCATCTTTTGGTGTTGTGGGAACAGTCAAGCTCCAGTCTCGGAGATTCTGAGGCAGCCAGAGAGGCTTCTGTTCATCCTGGATGGCTTTGATGAGTTGCAGAGACCTTTTGCAAAGGGATTGCAGAGGCCAACTCGGAGTTCCATGGAGGCTGTGCTGCACCTTCTAATTAAAAGGGAGATCCTGCCCAAGTCTTCCCTTCTCATCACCACTCGGCCTCTGGCTTTGCGAACTCTGGAATCTGTTCTGAAGCATCCACGTTTTGTCCACATCCTAGGCTTCTCAGAGGATGAGAGGAGGAAGTATATCAGCTCCTATTTCACAGATGAGGAGCAAGCTCGAAATGCTTTTGACATTGTTCAAAGAAATGGGGTTCTGTACAAAGCATGTCAGGTTCCTGGCATTTGTTGGGTGGTCTGCTCCTGGCTGAAGAGGCAGATGGAGAGAGGCAGAGAGGTTTCAGAAATGCCCAGTAATGACACTGATATATTCATGGCTTATGTCTCCACTTACCTTCCATGCAGTGACAGTGCTGGCAGCTCAGACCTTACGCGGAACAAAGTCCTGAAGGGTCTGTGTTCCTTGGCAGCAGAAGGGATCAAGCACCAGAGGTTCATGTTTAATGAAACTGACCTGAAGAACCATGATTTAGATGGTCCCAGTCTTGCTCCTTTCCTTTATAGTAGTGATTACCAAGAGGGACTTGAATTGAAGAAGCTCTATAGCTTTCACCACATTATTTTCCAGGAATTTTTTAATGCTGTTTCCTACCTAGTGAAAGAGGACCAGCAAGGGAAAGAGTCTCTTAGAGAAGTGAGTAGGCTGTTGCACGATGAGCAGCAGGCAGGGAATGAGGAGATGACACTCAGTATGCACTTTTTGTTGGACATATCCAAAAGAGAAAGCTCCTCAAACTTGGAGCTAAAGTTTTGTCTCAAAATTTCCCCCTCTATAAAGCAAGATCTGAAGCATTTTAAAGAACAAGTGGAATCCATGAAGCATAGGAGGACTTGGGACTTGGAATTCTCGCTGTATAATAAGACATTAAATAATCTGCTAAAGGGAGTTCAGATGGGTGACATATCATTTAAGATGAATCATTCAAATGAAAAGAAATCCAAGATTGGGAACTCATTTTATGTCAAAACCAGCTTGAGAGATGGTCAGAAAGAGGAGGAAAAATATCCTGTTGTGGGCAAAGGGACAGAAAAGAAGGCTTTGAGTGGAAAAAGACTGGAGGATGGAGGAGAGAGTAGCAGTAGAGCAGGACGCAGGGAAGTGGATATAGAAGAACCAGAAGGTCAAAAGAATCCTGGAGTGGAGGCATAGGAGGATAAAGGGAGAGGGGAAGACAAGAAATGAAGAGAAATGAAAGATGAACCATTAAGCTAATGAACCCTGAAAGAAGTGGAATGAAGATTTGGAATCTGTGATATTTTTAAAGTCATGGAAGATGAGCTCTTAGAAAAAGCCACATTTACTCTGAATGGCTCAGGTTTAGTTCTTTCAGCATCCCTTTCTGTCTGGAGGCTGCTTAAAAACTCCCATAGTCTAGCATCTTATTTCAGAAGCTTCCCTCATATATCAGGATTAGTGACTGTGCATATGGTTCTGTTTTTGACTCTTTCCTATAAAATAAACTTTCAAGTGATCAATTGTATGGTGGTAGATGGACACTAACTTTTTTGGGCAATCTTGATGTGGTAGCATATGCAGGTATCACATTATAATTCTGAAACTTAATATCTAAATAATGCTTTGAGTCAACATATCTTCCAAAAATATAGGTATCATATATATATTAAAGTTGTTCTGGTCTCTATGAAAAGTGGTACGGAGTGTCCTTTAAGAATAAAAATGCAAATTCCATATGATTCAGCAGTACTACTCAGGAATTTATCAGAAGTCTGAAAACACTACTTAAAAATGTTTTAAAAGTTCATGGCAACTTTATTCACAATAAGCAAAACATGAAAATAACCTAAATGCCCCAGAGAAAGGTTACGGACAATTCTTTTTTTTTTTAATTTTCAAAGTTTCAAGGATCGTTTTTGTGACTTTTCACAGTTGTTTCATGTCACCAATTCAGTCTGTTGCTTTGGCCCAAACATCTGAATCCAAGGCAACTCAACCTTCCATGATCAACTCAGGAGCCCATAGCACTAATTATTCACAGGAAACTTGATGACTCTATATTTAATAATTATATACTAGGATAACACATAGATTGCTTCTATATGCAGAATGCTTATTTAAGGAGCATCTTGTATTTGATTATTCAGTAGAGGATGGTTGGCATCTATTGAGTAGCTGTGCTGTGTGGACCCTCCACACTCAGTCTACACCATTGTTTGTGCTGGTTGTTTCTTTAGACTTTTAGGTAATCTGGAAACAGGAAATAGGTACCTAACCACTTTACTGGATTTTCATGGGGTCAAGGATGTCTTTTTTTTTTTTTTAAAATATATGGGCTGGAGCGATAGCACAGCGGTAGGGCGTTTGCCTTACAAGCGGCCAACATGGCCGACCCGAGTTCGATTCCTCCGCCCCTCTCGGAGAGCCCAGCAAGCTACCGAGAGTATTCGATATGCCAGACACAGTAACAACAAAGTCTCCAATGGAGACGTTACTGGGCCCGCTCGAGCAAATCGACGATCAACGGGAGGGCCTTGTTCTCTCTCTCTAGTATGGTTCAGTACCTTCGGATTATGAGATTAACATACCACCTTGTAGGAAGGGTATCTTGTTGAGTGTAGTCAGCAAGAAGAGAGGGAGATACAGAGTTACCTTTCTACTGTGTGGGATATAAAGAAACACAATAAGGGAATAACAACTGACCAAAAATAACAGAACCTATGAAGAGGTCCACAGCAGAGCCCACCATAGTAGAATGACCCGCGGTAGTGATGGGGGCACTGAGGGAGGATCCAGGGACAATGGTAGAGGGAAATAGATACACTAGTGAGGGAATTGATGTTGGAATGTTGTATGCATGAAACCTACCATTGACAGTATTATAAAATTGTAAAGCACGGTGACTAAAATAAAATAATAATAAAAAAAAGACAATAACATTCAATTAAAGTTTGTTTTACTTAGGAATTAAAACTATTTTAATTAAAAAATCAAACTTCCAACTCTATTCTTTTAAAGTACAATAATTTCTGATTTTTGCTTTGTCTGACTCTTTCCAACAGCTATTAAGGCTTTCATTTTTCCCCCTTTCTTACTCTTTTTATAAAGACTTTATCTGTTCAGGTTTTAGAGTGATCCTCACAATTAGAAAAGATGGCTATCATCCTTAAAAGAGAGAATAGTCTTTATTAAAGGCCCCAACAGAGAAATTGGTGGATGATTCTGACCTGAACATGGGTGGTTAACCACATGTTGAACAATCTCTTTGGTCTGAAAGATAAGCTCTTCACTGGATACACTGGGTACCAGAGTCCATGCCATACCTCAAAGGATTGAATGAAAAAGGACCAGTATTCCTAAAACATGGGGGAAAGTGTTTATTCAAGAAGAATAGTTTCGAGTAGACAAAATATACACACAGGTGTCAGTATGCCTGAGAGACAAGGGTTCTGTGAGATGCTGACTGAGGAATAGGCAACCAGATTCCTGTGTGAAGAATTCTGGAAAAATTAGTCCAGCCAGACTCCAGGGGCTGAGAAAGCCAAAGTTCTCCAGTCAGTCCCCTCTGTGGGTTGGAGAGGATGAATCACGGGAAAGTGAAGGCTGTGCCCAAAAGGAAGAAGCTCTCTCCCTAGGAAGCAATTATGGGAATATTTTCTGAAAAAGCAGGGTTGGAGAGTGGCTGGCAGAGGGAGGTATCAGACAGAAACCAACATGTTCCTCTAACTTTGATTTTCAGGGAAGAATGAAAACTTTCCCCCTAAGACTTATGGTACATATTTATACCAAAAAATTTTCTTTATCTAAAATTCAAATTTAAATGTGTTTATTGCTATTTGCTTGATTTGGAAACCAGAAATGGAAGAGAGTAGTAGTAGAGGAAGTAGAGGAAGCGGCTGCTGTTGCCACCCAGAGAAAAGCATCAGATGATATCACATCTATATTTAGGACAGACTCCCATCTCACACATTAGTGGCACTCTTAAAGGGAAAGTGACTTCCTGTAGAAATTAGCAAATGGTTGGGCTCCAGAGGTTGATTATAAGGGTGAATACTTCTGAATATTTTTGAGACTACTATGGAAGAATTGCCAGGAAAAGACAGAAATCATGTTAGTAAATTCTTGGCAACTTTGAGATTGTTTTTATTTTTGTTTTTTTTGGGGGACACATCCAGCAGTGCTCAGGACTTCCTCCTGGTTCTGTGCTCAAGGATCACTGCTGTGGGGAACACATGTGATGCTGGGATTCCACTAGGTTGGCTTCATTAAAAATATGCACCTTGACTATTGTTCTATCTCTCTGGTCCCACAATTTTGAGGTTGGGTAAGGTGGGCTACAGATGTCAGCACATGTGTCAGGGATGTGGTTATTAGATAGGTAGTGGATGACAGGAGTGAAATAACTTGGTTACTGTGAGGTGTTTTTACATGTACACAGAAGAGTCATCCAGTCTCGTGTCTTCTCATTTTAGTATCCTTTAAATTTATTTACTTTCTTTTATGCTGCACCTGGCAGTGCTCAGGACTTACTCCAGCTTTACTCTGAGATCACTCCTGATGGTGCTCCAGAGAGCATATGAAATGATGGAGATTGAACCTAAGTTGGCTGCATGCAAGGCAAGTACCCTACTTGCTGTACTATCACTCCAGCCCCTATTCATTTACCTTTTATGGGGGAATTTTTTTTCCTACCTTGCAATGCTCAGAGGACCATATATGACATGGGGGGTATTTGAAACTGGTTCCTGGATTAAGTTCATAGACACAGGGCACAGAGGCAAAAGCTGGTATATTGTTGACCCCTCCCTAGATACATAGTCACAGTGATACCTAAGTTCTTCTGTTTCCAAATCTTCCAGCAATAACTTTTCCCCAGTGCTTCAGTCCAGAGGCCAAGATTTTAACCCACCTCTATGAAACGAGATTTACACTGCTGCTCTGATTTTATTGTGATTTAAACTAGGGACATTGGTAGAGGGAAGGTCACATCAGTGGTGGTTTTGGTGTTGGAACACTGAATGCCTGGAACAACTGTTTGATGAACAATTCTGTAAAGTCAAGGTGTTTAAAAAAGTTTAATAGGAAAAAATGTTGGGTAACAAACTCAAGGCTTCACACCTGAGAGATTTGTGTTTGATCACTGAGCTGCATCTGCCCCAGTATGTATTTACTTAGGGGACACGGTGCTCTGTCTCTCTTGCCGCTTGCGTTCAGTGGTCTCAGGTCGCTTCCTCCACCCTGGGGAGGCCGATGGCCATAGGTAGGTGAAGGAAGGAACGAGGGCCAGGCTGGTTGGTGTCAGTTGCAGTTTATTCCATTCCCATCTCCATTAGCCTCTGATTCTCCTCCTGCTTTTTCCTCTCCCATGCTACTTCATTCTTCTTCTTGCTCTGGATTCTCCCCTCCACTCCTCCCCCCACACCCCCATCTTACAGTCTTAGTTACATAGCAATCATGTAGGGTGGTGATACAAAGAGGGGTTGAACTTTAACAAATCGACAAAGATAGGTAAAACCACTCCTTCAAGAGATTAACTCGAGGACAAAATCTCATCTAAGGAGATTACTCCAGATTACTTGGAGTTCTGCTCAAGGGCGGGATTAGGGTGTGTTGCTATCTTCTTTCCCAGCCAGTAATCCATTTAAATAGTTGTAGTAAATTTACTTCTAATATTTCCAGCAATGTGATTTTGTATGAGTAAAGTAAGAGATATAGCAAGCTTAAAGTTTGGTTCTTCCTGTAAACATCTCACTATATATTCCAGACCTCAATCCTCAGGCCAGGTTAGTCTTTCCTAACGAGCAGGGTCCTTATTCAGTTACCTCTTTTGGGTCATGACAGAGTTTGTCCATAACCATACTCTTGACTTACAGCTAAATGTTGTGGCGCTTTGGCCTGGCCCATTTTGATGCCAGGGTAGCTCACAGCTTGCCCTAGGTCCATTCAGTCCCTCGTCGGGATCCTGCTTTTGGGGTGCTAGGAACTAAAGGCAACTGAGATTTGAAAACAAGGTCTGAGTCAAGAAAACAAATGTCTTGGAGTGAATATTATTTGGAGTCAATTAACTCCCAAGTTACAAAAGCATAATATTAACTGTCCTCCTGTGTCCATACAAAAAGGACATTGCTTTAAAGTAAACTATGCAAAAGATGGGGAAAAATAATATTTAACTTATAACATAAGTTCAGTGTCCT